TCAAATCAATCAAATTTATATATAATATTAGTATTATTAATAGGTATATTATTATTAATAAATTTTTAACATTAGAATTATTATCTTTCTATGTATTATTTGAAAGTACTTTAATACTATTATTTATTTTAGTAGGTGTATATGGTAGTGCTAATAAAGAAAAAGCTGCTTATTATATTTTATTATATACTTTATTTGGTAGTTTTATTTATGTATTATCTATATGTATGACAACATATTTATTAAAATCTACTAATTTTATGTATATAATGGATTAATTATATCTATGATTTACAAATGATATTATGATTAGGATTATTTATAGCAATATTAATTAAATCACTTTTATTTCTATTACATATCTGATTACTAGTAGTTCATAGTGAATCACTATTAGCTGGTAGTATAATATTAGCTAGTTTAGTATTAAAATTAACAATATATTTAATATTAAGATGAATGTTACTTATTTTATCAGAAAGTACATTAATTTATACACTATTAGTATATTTAATATGTTTATTAACTATAATTTAGTAAGTTTAATAACAATAGTACAAATTGATTTAAAAGTTATTATTGCTTATAGTTCTATTAGTCAGCTAGGCTCTTTAAAAAATATATTTTGTAATTTTATTTTTTTAACGCAACAAACTATATGCAGGAAGTTTAAGGATCTTATAAGATCATCTTATTTAGGTACTAATATCGTAAGTAACAAATTTATAAAATTATTATATCATAATATGTTCAATTATAACATTTATAGTATATTAAATCGTACAAGTTCTGTATTAGTAAAAATCTTAAATAATTATTTAAATAATCCGCAGATAATCAAATATAATATAATATATAAATATATATTATATTTTAAAGTAAACATCTCAGAGGCCATATGTTTGTTATTTAATATTATTTATTTAAATTACATTAATTCTTCACTCTATTTTATAGATAATAGAGAAAATTATAATTTAATAAAAAATCTATCTTCTTTATTACTTAATAAAATATATTCTAGATCTTATTCATTAAATAATAAACAAAAAGAAATCGCTACTAAAAAGTTTAATGAATGATTAGCTGGTTTAATTGATGGTGATGGTAATTTAAAATTAACAAATGATTTAGTTTCATTAATAATAACTTTTGATTTAAAAGATCATCGTACAGCTGAATTATTAAAACAACGTTTAGGTGGTAAAATTAATTTAATAGGTAATAAAAATACAGTAAAATATAAATTACATTCAAAAGAACAAATAATTAAATTAATTGATCGTATTAATGGTAATATAAGAACATTAAAAAGAATTGAACAATTAAAAAAAGTTTGTAATATTTATGATATACTTTTTATAGAACTTATTAAATTAGAATATAATAATGGTTGATTAAGTGGTTTATTAGATAGTGATGGTTCTATATCTTTTAATAAAATAAATAAAACAATAGGTATAACTATTGTTCAAAAAGATAGTACTATATTAAATTTATTAGCTAATGTTTATGGTGGTAAAGTTTTTTCACATAATAAATCTAGAAATAATTTTAAATTTGTAATAGAAAATAAAGATAATTTAATTGAAATATATGATAATTATTTTAAATTTTATCTTTCTAGAACATTAAAAATTAATCGTATTGTTTTAATAAAAAGATTTTATGAATTAAAAGAATTAAAAGCATATAAAGGACTAGAAGGTTCTATTTTATATAAAGCATGAATAGATTTTATTAAAAAATGAAATAAAAAAGCTACAGTTAATAAAGATGATATCTTTTTATATTAAACTTAAATTATAATAATTTTATTATAAATAAATAATAATATATTTATAAAGAATTAAAAAGATAATATTAAATAAAGAGATGGTCCACATTATTTATTTATTTTATAAATAAAAGCATATGTCTGTATGTATATTAGGTGTATTTTCTAATAATATAATCGGTATTGATGGTTCATATATATTATCAATAGCTCATGGTTTAGTATCACTAGGTTTATTTATAGCAGTAGGAGGTGTATTATATGATAGATATCATACACGTATAATAATATATTATAATGGATTATTATCAATAATGCTATTATTTAGTTTATATTTTATAACATTGTCATTTGCTAATATAGGTACACTATTAAGTGCTAACTTTATAGGTGAATTCTTAGCAAATTTAGGTGCATTTAAAACATCACTAATAATAGTAGGTATATGTACATTAGCTATATTATTATCAGCAGCCTACCAATTTAAATTAACAAATCGTATAACAGGTGGTACAAATTATTATATACATAATGTAGGTGATGTAACTAAACGTGAATCATTTATGTTCTTAGCTATAATTATACTAACATTAATTATAGGTATTTACCTACAACTAATTATAAATAACTTATCTTATATTATAAGTACAACTATTTATAGTTAATTAATATAATAATAATAATTTAATTTTACTTTATTTATTTATTTATATATAAGTATATATTAGTTAAAATACTTTATCCAAGAAATAAATAATAAATATTAAAATAATAAAAAAAAATTTATAAATAATTATAAAAAGAATTAATTTATAAAAAAAAAATAAAAATAAAAAAAATGGCAATTAGAAAATCAAATCTTTTTTTAACAATTGTTAATGGATATGTTGTAGATTCACTAGAACTATCAAATATTAGTTACTGATGAAATTTAGGTTCATTATTAGGAGTATGTTTAGTTATACAATTAGCAACAGGAATATTCTTAGCAATGCACGTGCGCTGTTGTGCTAGTTTTACCAATCAGGTTAAGGTCTGATATCTTTTTGTTCATAAGATAAAATCACTCTACTTAAGTAATATGTGAAAACATTTGCTGAACATAGCATGTAGAGAAAAGGTTGTTATATTAGTGAAACTGTTAATTGATATACAATCAGATGAAACTTCTAATTTATGATTAAAGTTATACTACTTGAAGTTCAATCTCCAACAACACCAAGCTGAGTGTTTATACCTTGACAGTAATGGGGATAATAAAATTTATAATTGAGTAGGAGTGCATGATTCGGTTAGAACAATAAATTTTATGTATAGTAATAATATTACTATAAAGGGGATGAGTGAACAATCTAAGGAAGTAATCTTGGGTAAAAATAGAACTACAGTATCCACTAAGGAGTGTGAACTCTATGTGGAAGGAAAATCTGATAAATCTGTTTCAAATAATATGAAATATATTAACTTTAATAGGTTAAGAAATAATAATTTATTACTAAATTATTTACAGAAAAGAGATTTAGCAATTATAGGTTTAAGATCATATAGTACAGAGTCGGGACAGACAAATAAAAATGTATTAGATGAATTAAACAGTTTACATGAATTTTCTAAAAATTATCTAAATAAACGAATAGATAGAAAAATATATAATAAATTTATGTTATCAAAAGAATTATACATTTTAGCATATCAAAAATTACGTAGTAATCTAGGTATGATGACACTTGGAATATATCTAACGACATTAGATGGTATTTCTGATGAAACATTAGAAAAAATAATAAATGATTTAAGGAGTAATAAATTTAAATTTACACTATATAAGAGAATAGATATTCTAAAACTAAAAGGTGGAACAAGACTATTAAATTTAGGTAATCTAATAGATAAATTAGTTCAAGAAGTTATGAGAATGGTCTTAGAAGCTATTTATGAACTATTATTTTCAAATAATTCACATGGTTTTAGAAGAAATCGTAGTTGTCATACAGCATTAAGATACATATTCACACAATTTAAAGGTTGTACATGATGAATTGAAGGAGATATATCTAAATGTTTTGATTCTATACTTCACAATAAATTAATAAATTGTTTAGAAGAAAAAATAGATGATAAAAGATTTATAGATTTAATACGTAAAGCCTTAAATGCCGGATATTTAATTGATCGTAGATTAGTATATGATATAGTTGGTACTCTTCAAGGTTCTATAATTAGTCTAATTTTAGCTAATATTTACTTAAGTAAATTAGATAAATTTATTGAAGAATTAAAATTAGAGCATGAAGACCCAAGTAAAAAAGGTAAAAAAATTAGGTTAAAAGAATATAGATCTATTGAGAGAAAAATAGGTGTAGTTAAGAAATTAGAAGCTTCTAATAAAAGAAAATTTGATTTAAGAAAGTTAAGTACTAAATTAAGAAATACTAAAATAAATATAAAATCTAGTTATGATAATAAATTAATGTATGTAAGATATGTTGATGATTGAATTGTAGCTATTAATGGTACATATTCAGATGCTGAATTATACTTAAATAAAATAAGAGATTTCTGTAAAGATCATTTAGGTTTAACAGTATCTCTAGAAAAAACTAAGATAACTAATTCATATAAAAATCATATATTATTTTTAGGTACTAATATCAAACATTCCTCTCGTAGAGATATTGTTAAAAGAAAAGGTAATAAAACTAGATCACTAGGATTTTTAATGTTAACAGCACTTATGAAATTAATATCAAAGAAATTAGCATTAGCAGGTTTTCATAGATATCATAAAGGTTTAACTAAAACGACATGATTAGAGTTAGAATTAAGTCAAATAATTTATTTAGCAAATAGTATTATTAGAGGTTATTTAAATTACTATTCCTTTGTTTATAATCGTAATAGATTAACAGGATATGTTTATTATATAATAAGAGATTCAGTATTAAGAACATTTGCTGCTAAAATGAGATTAAAAACTAGAGCTCAAGTTATAAAAAAATATGGTCTAAATTTAACTATTTACGATTATTCTTCTCCTCTTATAAAAGAATTAAATAAAAAACTCGCTTATAAAGAAATTATACATTTAGTTAATGTTAGTAAAGAATATAAATTAAATGTTTGAAATTTCAAAATAAAAAATCTTCTATTTATGGACATTCCAAGTTTATTCTCGAATAATGTATCTTTAGCTACTGTATTAGCATCTAAATGTAAAATTTGTGGTAGTACATATAGAGTGGAGATGCATCATATTAGAGAATTAAAAGATATTCGTTTTAAGAAAAATACTGTAGATTATATTATGAGTAAAGCTAGACGTAAACAAATACTATTATGTAGAGAATGTCATATGAAATATCATTCAGGTAATTTACATTTACTTATAAATAAATCTATCAAATAAATAATATTTAATCTTTTTTAGGTATTTTTTTAGTTTAATTTTATATAAACTAATTATAATTGTGGAGAGCCGTATGATGGGAAACTATCACGTACGGTTCGGTGACGAGTGCTATTAATCTGGTAGTTTTATTAATTAAAATATCTCAGAAAATGGTATTTAGTTCAACTATTCATCAAATTTAGAATTAGCATTTTTAAGTGTACAACACATAATGATTGATGTTAACTATGGATGATTAGTAAGATATGCTCACTCTAATGGAGCAGGATTCTTCTTCATATTCGTTTATATGCATATGGCTAGAGGTATCTACTATGGTTCATATAGAAAACTAAGAGTAGCATTATGAACAATCGGTGTAATAATTTCTTAGTTATGATTATTACAGCATTCTTGGGTTATAAAAACAATAGCCCAAAATCATTTATTTATAATAAGTATAATAATATAAAATATCCTATAAATAAAAAAAATATTCGTTTTATTCATACAAATAGACATATTAAAGATTCAACTGAACTAATAAATATATTATCAGAATTAGGTTTAGATAATATACTAAATTATTGAGATAATTTAAATAAACTAGAAGTATTACAAAATATACAAAAAACAGTAGAAAATAAAAGTGGTATATATATTATTATTAATAAAATAACACGTAATAAATATATAGGTTCTGCTATAACAAATAAATTATATTCTAAATTTTCAAAACATTTAATAAATTTAAATGGTAATAAATTAATAAAAAAAGCTGTAAAACAAGAAGGTTTAAATAATTTTATTTATGGTATATTAGAATATTATCTAGATAAAATAAATAAAGAAAATAATAAAGATTTATTATTATTAGAAACATCTTATTTAACTGTATTAACCCTAGAATATAATTTATTACTAGAAGCATTTTATAGTTTTGGTTATAAACATTCAGAAGATAATTTATTGAAAATGAGAGAATCTTTTACAAAAGAAAGAAGAGAATTATTACGTAAATTACAAGAAATAATAATTTATTAGAAAGTTCAATATTAAATAAAGAATCTTATAATATATCTAATTACAAAATATATTACATTATATAATAAAGAAAATAATAAAATATGTACTTTTAATAATAAATAAAGCTAAAATTATTTATGTTGCAGTACTAAACTATTAAAAGAGCAATTAATTTAGGATGAATATATATACTAGTCATATTTGTTAAATATTATCTCTAAATTATATAGATAATAATAATTCAATTAAAGATATTTTAACTAATTTAAATCTTAAATTTAAATCTTCATTAATATTAAGAAAGAATATTGAATATAAAAATTTATAATTAAAATTAAATATAAATAATATATATTATATAATAAATGATAGTCGACCTTAATAATTAATAATATGTTATATATATAATTAATATTATAATTGTTAACTTTTATAAGGAAAATTATAATAGGTTTTTAGTATTAATTTACTAAAATAATATAGTAAATATTATTATATTATGGCGATATTAGTGAAAACGATTAAAGTATTATCATTTATATACAAGATCGTCGGTTATATAAATAATCGCTACAGACTGGTTCACTAATAGATATCTGAAATGATGTTTAATGCACAGTCGAATAAAATAAATATGTATTGTTTAGTATATGGACAAATGTCACACTGAGGTTTTTTAATAAGTGCCTCATATGGATTAATTATATTAATAATAAGTAAAATTGTTGAAAAATATAAAATAATAATACAATGAAAACACTTTATGAATTAAATAATTTAACTGGTCTTATTAATATAGATATATTGTCTATATTATATGGATCTTTATTAGGAGATTGTTATGGTAAAAAAAGTAATTCGAGGAACTAGATTTATTTTTATCAAGAATATACTCATGAAGATTATTTATTATATTTACATAGTTTAATAACTAATTAGGTTATTGTAATCTTAAATACTTATAATAACTACTAGATTAGCTTTAAAAGGTAAAATTATTAAAATAATAAGATTAATACTTGAACATATAATAAATTAATATTATTTATAATGAATGATATAATATGATAATAAAAAAAGAATACTAAGAAATTTAGAAAAATATTTAACTCTATTATCATTAAGTATATGAATAATGGATGATGGTTGTAAAGTAAATAATGGTTTAATTTTATTACTAATTATTTTTCATATAATGATCATTTATACTTAATAAAAATATTACAATCTAAATATAATTTAAAATGTTCTATTATAAAAGCTGGATATCTAAATAAATATAATATTTATATTTGAAAAGAATCAATGCTTTTATTATATAATATCGTTAAACTATATATAATTTAAGTATGAAATATAAAGTATTACAATCTTAATTAATTTATTATTTCTTTACTTATTAAATATAATTAATTTATAGTATTAAAAATATTATGTACTAATATTAATCGATAATGAGAATAGTATATATTATTATATAATACTATATAATAATAAAATTTTTAATGCAATATTATTGAAAATAGGTCAATATTATTTCGATAAATAACAAGAGCCATGGGTAAATTATCTTATCCCGACAGAGTAGATCAATAATAGATATCTGAAATGATGTTTAATGTGTACTCGAAATAGAGATAATATATATTTATTTCCATCTATATTATATTAATTATAAATGGATATATAAATATTTATATTAACACAAGGTTTATTAATTAAATTTATTAATAAATACATGCTATAATTTAATTTATCGAATATATATGTAATATATCATATATATAAATATTAATAATAAAAATTTAAATATTTAGTTAGATGTATAGTCTCTAATTTTTGGCAACTGTAATTACAAATTT